AGATAAGACAACAAATCATCTATTTTTTCTCATTGGAATATTATATTATTCGTGTAATTTTTTTTTTTGAGTTTGAATAGACTTAGGTTTGCATATCCAAATCTTCAAAGATTATAATATTTCATATTTCTTTAAACATTTTGTTGTTCTCTCTATTTTCTCACCAAACAAATTAAAACTTCAACAATCTTTTCCGTATGATTTATTTCAACTTTTTCATCAAGAAAACAATGATTAATATAATTTTTAGAAATTTTTAAAAATGCTACTTATCAAGTTCCATTTTTCAAAAATGCAACATTTTCAAAATCTTTACAAAAATGCCACTTTTTAAAAATTATTTTTTCATTATATCATTTATGTTTGGGTTAACTATATTGTATTAGAATTTAGTTTTGAGGGTGTAAGGGGTTTTAAGAGTCAAAATATTTTTTAGTGTTTGTAATTTTAAGATTTAGACTTTAAAAATCCATAATTAATGATATTTTTGCAAATGGATATCCCTAAGTGGCATTCTTGCAAATGTACATACCAAAAGTTACATTTTTGCAACTGTCCTGTAAAAATATTATTGTTTACAACATAGATATCATCACTGATATAAGGTGATCTAATTTGTTTATCTATTTTTTGTTTGGTTTTTCTTTTACGGATAAAAAAGGACAATTGCAAAAATGTCATTTTAGGTGTGACACTTTTCAAAAATGCCACATATGGTTGTCCATTTGAAAAAATGCCATAAATTATGGATTTTTAAAGAATAAATCTTAAAATTTCTAAACCTTAAAAAATATTTTGACCGCTAACAACCCCTAAACCCCCAAAACTAAATTCTAATACAACATAGTTAACCCAAACATAAATAATGAAGGAAAAATTACAAAAATTCCACTTTTTATGTGCACATTTGCAAAAATGCCACTTAGGAGTGTTCATTTGCAAAAATGCCACTAATTATAGATTTTTGAACCCCATATCTTAAAATTCTAAACACTAAAAAATGTTTTGACCCCTAAACCCCATTATACCCTCATAACTAAATCC